GACAGTAGTCAAGACTTGAAATTAGTTCACCTGAAATTCAGGGAGATAATGTCTCACGGAAGAATGCGCAAGTTATTTGTCTCCGTGAATCCACAGCTACAAACGGTCAACATGATTTGACCAGAGGAACTTAGAATAAGTTTTCATTAGCTCTGTTTAATTCTGCTTCCAGTAGAATAAGCAGTGTCGTATGTAACCGAGATGTACCACATAGCCTTCAACTTCCGTAGTTTACGTGGCAGAGAAAGGCAATATAATGTACTAGACTTTTACCATCACTTGTGTTTGGTCACTGATTCGGTACACTGAACAGCTTTTCCTCCTGAGATGGACCGGAAAGAATTTTATGCAAACTGTTAATTTCGAACTTCATAGTTATGGAGCCATACACGTGAAACACATTTGAAAAACTTCTAGTTTGCCATCTGGTAGCTTGTTCTATTCTCACTGGTAGCGCACAATCACCATAGGATAAAACAAAATAACACATCATGGACAACAAAACAGTAGGATATTACTGGCAATAATACAGAATGACAGAATGGGAACCAGTAGAAGGTCTATCAAGCGCCTATCTTGCGAGATCACGTCAGAATTCATCGTCAGGTGTCTGCATGTACCATTTTCGCTAGCGTCGAGTGTCTTCATTGTCGAAACAAGGCTATCATAACTCTTCACTACAAAGTGGCAAGCAATTTGAGCTTGTCATTCACGGAAACCCCATATTACTATTGTTTTTTCTCAGGCATGCTAGGAACGGACTCCTGCAAAGCGTATTTTCATGGCGGACTATGTAATATGTTAGACCGTCGTCCCAAATGTCAATGAGGGACTGACAGTCAGTCAACGACGCAGCTCGAGCTAGCTGGCATTATTTTGAACGGACTTTTAGCTCGCTGATGATCTCTTGCTGCTGAACGACTGTGTAGGCGGCGTAAGGACACTCTAAAAGCGTGTGCAACTTGAATATGGGAATGGGACAGGAAATGAATGCCAGGAAGACAAAGATCGTAAGAACACTCGTCATGACCGATAGATCAAGGAATGTTTAGAATGGAATTGCAATAAAAGCGGTAGACTACTTCAAGTACCTTGGAACAGTGCTGACTAACGATGGAGCCATGAATCTTGAAGTGAACCGGCGCATTGCACTCACAGCCGCAAATTTCGGCAGGCTGTATGAAACATGGGAAGATCGGACTATAAGAATTGGTACAAAGGTGACCATTCTGAAACAGCCTTATGCGCGATGATAATGTACGGTCTGGAAACATCAGCAGTCGTTAAATTTCACGAAGCTTGTCTGGGCACATTCCATCAGCGTTGTTTGCGAAGCGTCCTTAAAGTTGATGGTTTAGTCGGGTTTCGAACGAGCAAGTGCTAAAAACCCGCAGTTTGACAAATCTATTTGAAGAACTCAGAGATCGGCGCCCTGCTTGACCTGATAAAACTATCGAGAGAGCGAAGGGGTAACCTTTGCAACACTTTTTTCAAATCGGAATCGTCAGCTGGCTGCAGACGCCTTGGAGGATAATATAACCGATGGAAGTAACTCCTTAAAGCAGAGTTGCTTGCGACGAGGAGCATGACCTTTGCCGAAGCAGTGAACACTGCTTAATATCATTCTGTGTTGCCATTTCTAACGGTCGAACATCACAAATCTAGGTCAAGCTGTAAAAGCTCTATTAGCCTAAGTTAACGATGACATGAAACCACAACAACAAAGTGTATATGATCAACTGCAACAACCAACTGCAACTGGCTCTGCGTTGTCAACCACAATCGTTGGAGTATTTTAATTCTAGTTCATAGAAACAGGGAGCAAGCAGCCTAAGCCTCAGAGTTACATCGACTGAAAATGTTTGGAAAACTTGAATGGAAAGATCAGGAGGTGCTGGAAAGTGAAGATGACCTGAAGCCAAAGTCAAGCGAAAACAGCGTCAATCTGTTCGAGTAATGCTAGAGATAATCCTTTTGAAGAGTCATAACGCTAAGCGCTATGAAACGAGACTTATAGTGTTTTACGTCCCCGGTATGGTGGACGAAACAGTGTCGAAATTTGCTGTTACGAACCTGACAGAAGTGAATAGTCCGGAAGATGGTGAACTTTACTCGTTTAGCATTCTACAGCAGGATGATAATGCTTGTTCCCAAAAATT